CAACTCATGCACCTCGTAAAAGTACGCGCATTCATGAGGTGCGTGTTTCGTTTGGTAGCAGATTCCTACTGTGATTCCACCAAATTATTTAGGCTTGCGAATCGCGAAGAGCTAAGCTATTCAGCCAGAATCAAGATTCTGAAAACGTGGGTGGTAGGAATCGAGCCACTCCACTGAGACTGAATAAGGTTCGCCAGGTGAGTTGTCTGCCCTCATATCTTCATCTTAACGCTGGCAGTGTCACAATGTATACTTTTAAGCAACATAGTTTACGCGCCATAACGAGGATAAATGAAATGGGTCCTTCGTCTGTGATAACACGATCTGAACATTCTCCATCGTCAAGGTATATTGTGCTTCGTAAAACTTCATGTTAATCATCTCTAATTAGTCGTTCATGTCTAGTTTTGCATGTACTTCTTTTAGGAAGCAGAAAATCTATCCAGAATCGAAGCAGGCTGTAGCTGCAAACATAAATAACATTCGAAGCGCTGCTGTACAAGTAGCAGCTCCTTCGACTACCTCCACATCTTCAACTCCTTCTGTATCTATTTGTCAACCGTCGTCATCAAGTTCCAGTCGTAGCAGTTGCGATGCCAAAGAATTTAGTAATGTGTACAGTACGTTTATCTTTTTCATTGACCTGCGTCTGCTGCATTTATGATGAGAAACTTTTCAGAAGATTTGTTTTTATGTGTCAAATCATTTGCCTTAGTGGAAGATGCTATTGGTTCTTATAATTGGAGCAATGCTAAGAAAATTCTTGGTTAGTTCATCATGACCGTATGTTAGATTGATTGGAAAGAGACTCGATTCTAGAACTTGCACCTCCCTGGATGGCGGATCTACCCATAGCGCTGCATATGCGGGCGCGGATAGCGTTTGAGCTAACAGAGTATGCTTGCGCTAGAGATATTCTGCAAAAACTGCGAAAGATGTATCCCCAACGAGTGGAGGTACGTACATCATGATTGTTAGTATGAATTCCGCTTTTTAGGCTTATGTATACATTTCTTGGAAGTTTTCGGACTTTCCAAATCAAAAAAGACATTTAGGGAATGGAGTTGCTTTCGACCGCTTTATGGCATTTGCAAGATGCTCATGAGTTGTCATCACTGGCTCAACAATTGACGCTTGAAGCACGTTCTAGGCCACAGACTTGGTGTGTGGCAGGGAACTGTTTTTCGCTACAAAGACAGGTAGCCAGCCTTTTCATCAGCATATGGTGTTTTCATGTTTTGTAGTATTTTAGCATGCAAAAGCTGTTGATTGCATGGAACGTGCCATTCAGCTGGATCGCTACTTTGCTTATGCTTACACATTATTAGGTCATGAGCTGATTTTCCAGGAGGAGTACGATCGCGCTGCGAATGCGTTTAGGTACTTCCAATTGTATAAGCTTTATCGTAATAAGCTTGAAGTCAGTGTTCAGGAGGGCTTTGGAAATTTCACCGAAAGACTACCGTGCTTGGCATGGTCTTGGTCTAGTTCACTTGCGTAAGGAGCAAATGGGGCTGGCTCAGGTATCA